ACCTTTATAAGCTGCTGAGAGAGAAATTGAAAAAGGGTGGTCCTACTATTGATTCCTGGTCACCGAGGCATTAAAGGCAATGCGCATGCTGACGCACTTCCTAAGAAGGAGAAAACGATTTTGGAAGGAATAGAGTGGCCGTTGTCCAAAATTTCGTATGCTAAACCAACAGATTAATTTCACGATATTTCTGTCATCTGGTACAGATTAGGTCCACAATCTGAAGTACATGGGAATCAACCTCCACAAAAGAATTCCAAAAATCCTCCCCATCCCTCCTAGATTCCATTGAGGGCCACTCGAGTGGATAATCAGAAAGCCGCCAAAGGCCTCATCAGCCGATGACTCCTTTGTGATATCTTCAATTAAATGGAGGTGTGGCAACAATCGTATTTGTCATTTGAAAATTATCACATGGGTGTCGTTCTTGCCAAATCCAACAACCACATCATCCTCCACAATCATTTACTCCACTCACAAATTTAACTCCTCGACGTCCGATTTCACTTACTACTCCACAACTACATCACAACCACAACCACACCTTCCTCTCTCTTCTCACCACCCTCGCCACCCTCACCACCCACACCACTCCCATCATAATTCCAATTCCTAAATCAGAATGTAAAATAAATCCACAATTTCACCTGCTTCTCATCTCACTTCTTTCAACACATTTTGCCCTCAATCCGCTCCCTCTCCTGTCCCTTTTAACTTTTTCAAAATACTTTCATTATAAAGCCATTTCCATGTGCATGCACGCACGCACTCGAACGCACACACATACACACACACACCTCACACCGACAATGAGCTACGTTTCAGTCAACTAACACAAATCCACGATGACCAAGTCATCCATATATTATTCACAGTTCCATCCAGATATCCAAATCAAAATTTAACTAAATCGAGAATTCCACTCACTTCACATCTCACCACAGTCATCACAAGGGGTGTACGATAGACTTACCTCCACGTGGTACACCCTGGGTAACGTATGCTCATACGGCGAAAAGTCTATAAACCGGCAGTTGATTTCTCACTTCTAACTACCAAGACACCACTGTATGCCAAATTCAATCACTTTAACAGTACTCATCTTACCTTATCTCTACCTTTCTGTCTGTCTGTCTGTCTGTCTCTCTGTGTGTCTGTCTCTCTGTGTGTCTATCACTCTTACATCTGTGAATCACTCTTCTCTCCTTCCTCTCGAAATTTCCAATTTTGACGTCTCCCCACTCTGCGAAGTAGGCTAAAATGCTAATGATAATTATAAAGACGCCTGTAATTTGAAATAAATAAATAATGGAATGAATAAATAATCGAATAATTGAATAAATAAATAAATAAGCAACTAAATAAATAGATAAATAAACACAGAACAATTTGGCAGACAGTGTGGGACACTCCATCAATGACCAAGTAGAAATCCTGCTATAGAATATTACTCAGAAATATTTAGCTATTCGTGCGAATTATGCTAGAGTTATCTGATAACTAATCGCTTTGCCAAAACACACACTTCGCTTTCGATATACGTACTGAATAGAGATATTCCGTGCTACACGTCTGTTTCCCTTAAAGCTGGGCTATAGCTTAGCTTGTTCTGGGAGTCAAGCTAGATGTTGGAGAATCTGTCATAGAGATTTCTGAGTCGATCAGGCTTTACCAAAGTAGCCATCCGCTACAACAGCTTTCTTCCAAGCCAATTTCCACCATTGCAAATGTGGCACTAAGTGCAGTATACAAGTAAGGAAGTGGCTGTGTGAAGTGGCTGTAAAAGAAAGAAATTGTATCGATTGAGTGCAACTCAGCACAAAAAACTGATATTTGCGATCTGTCACAAGTGACGTGACCTCGGCCTCTTGAACTGGGTTGCAGTCCATTAAGTTGCACTGGGCCAACTAAACAATTGCTACATCGGTTACTACCTGACCCCAAGTGACCTCATTCGATACATATGGCGTGTGCCTTACACCACTGTCACATCTGTAAACAATATATTGCCCGCCGAAAGATACATATGTCATATTTCAACTGGTACTTCTGCAGTCAACATGTCTTGCTCTCTCCCCCCAAATTATCCGCATCGACCACTTCCTCCTGCACAGACAAAACCTGAACACCTCGACACCGAGATTTCCCAATATCATCCAACTTCTCTGCCTCCCCTTCACCATTTCTCCTCTTCATCACATCGTACTTCTAACGCCATTCCTCCTCTTCTTTCACCTCATTCTTTACACTTACTCAAAGCGCATCACTTCTTCCTCTCGTCAAGCCTTGACTCATTTCACAAAATATGCTTTGATAATTGGGAATAATAATATAATTATGGATCATAGGACGTTCTCCCCCACAGCTATCTTCTCTTCATGTGTGTGCCATGTCTCATCTTTTTAGCCAATCATACTTCGTCAATATGTATTGGGTGCACAGAAACTAATAAGTGCTGCTTCGTGCGGTGACCCTAAAAGAACTGGTTGCTGATTTGAGGAATGCTGTTTCGACTAATCTGAGAGTGCTATAGTGGTGTGTTGTTTGGTCACTTGCTTGTCTAATTGGAAATAGATTTTGGTAGTAGAAATTGGATGAATTTCGTTGTTCTGTGCCTTTTTTTATTACATCCATGTTATTATTCAAGATCCAATCATCTGCATGCGCTATGACGTCCATCGACTGCCTTAGAATGGCGGTGATCGCACGAATTTGCGAGTATTTGGATGTGTCAGATCTCGTGAATATGTGCTCGGCCATTCGAGGTTGGAGGGGTGTGCTCAAGGATCCTCCAATGCAAACACGTCTCCTAGACTACGTGAGAAATATCAAATGGCTTGATATCAAGCTATTTCAACTATTTCGATCGGTGAATGAGTTGGGGCTTTGCATGGGTAAACTGCATACCATCCGACATCACGCCTCTGAGGAGATGGAGATACGGCTGTCGCGTTCCAAATCCGATAGACTCCCAACCGCCGCCACCACCACCAACACTGACACCAAGTGTCCCGTTTATTTGAGAATATTTGAGATGGGTAGTTTTGATAGATTCCATTTTCAAAGGGAACATGATAAGGTCATTGATTTCATGGAGCCTAGTGGTTTTACAGTCATCGATTCTCACGCAGTGGATTTAGTGGAGATTGTTATATTTGATCATATTGTGCAAATGGAGTACCTGAAATTCGTGTTACACCTAGTGAAGCCACAGCACACTCTTCTTATTCTGCATGTTACTGTGCCTTCAAGGCACAGTAGCATGTGGAATGAGGAGTGGATAAGGGAATCCATAGGCACTTAGTACAGTTGCCTATTTGGGCTCCTATCAAGGAGGTGGCGTATTTGACACACAGAGAAGAAGAAAGGCGAGCCCCTCGACCTCACCGCTTCTATTAATTGGGCTCATAGTACAGTTTGCTCTTCTTCTCACAATTCCTAAGCCCACTTTCACCACGTACTTGAAGGCCGTCCAAAAACAAATACCACTTTCTCTCTCAATACGTGCAATTCGTATCCACAGCACGGCCACCTCTTCTCCATCCACCTACCATTGTTCTATTTTTGTTTTTGTTTCTTGTACATGAAATAACATTCATTCTCTTCTAAAATTCCATTTGTTTGTGTAATATTGGCTTATTTTCGAATACTATCTTAAGGGGTAATAGGGTGTCACTCTATGAGGTGTGGGCAATAAGCCACGGTGTGGCCGATGGAGACGTTAATTGCATCCAAATGCTTATGGAGTGGTTCTAAGTCGATCGCACTGAGAGGCGTTGAGGAATGTTTGCTTGAATGAATGAATGAGTGATTGCGTGAGTGAGATAGTTGAAAAGGAGAGTTATTAATATCAAATTGCAATCTTTATGACAGCCATCATTAGACCTGTAGTTGACTTCGGGCTTCATAGAGTGGAGATAGGTGAAAGTTGCAAAAGTGGAGGGGTGATTGGAAGAGAAGAGTGATTCACGGATATAAGAGAAGAGGCAGAAGTAAAGGTAGATTGGAACGGTGCAATGAGTACATGGGAGTGGTGGAATATGGCATGAAGTGAGGCCATGAAAGGTAGAAGTTGAAGACCAACTGCTGGTTTATAGATCTTTTGCAATATGAGTATACGTTGCCTAGACGTGGATTACGTGAAGGTAAGCTTATTGAGCACCCCTGAGCATGGAACTGATTGTAGGAAAAGAGGAGAATTTAGTGATGATGGTGAGATGGGTTGGACACAAGTAGAGATGATAATGTGAGGCCATATCCTTATAGAAATAGCTCATAGACGGTTCAAGCTGAGTTGTATGAGATGACATTTGGTGGTATATTTGGATGCTAATTGCTTGGCCTCATGTTGGTAGTCAAAGTGGTGGAGCATCATTTTGCAGAATTGGGGATTGAAGAGGAATATGACAAATTCCAAATAATCGTCAATTTCATCACCTAAGTAATGAACTCCAAATTAGCGAATTGACATTCGCATATGCAATCAATATCAATGCAAACGTGTGTAGGACACGACTGCACCGAATGATCAATCCGAGGAAAAAGCTATGTGAAACTCATCCGAACCACTTATATTGAGAGAAATACTGTAATTAGTGCATTGTGCAAGTGCAAAGGTGGAAACGAGGAGAAGAAGGAGAGAGAGTGGAATGCCCATTCAGTGCAGCGATCAAATTAGAAGTTGAATTCTTTGCCTTCTTTGCTTGCCTGTTGACCAACCAGTAGATGGTTGAGACACACTAATAGTATGTGTCAATGTGTGCATTCGAGAATTCGCATGTACAATGCTTGGGAGAATGAGCTATATCAAACTTGTCTATTGAAGTTTGAGGGATTGGGACAATTATAATTATTGTTAATGGCATAGTTTGCTTGGACTTATCAATATGAAGATTTGAATAGTTTTCAAAATGTCATATACGCAAAAGTAAAGCTGGAGAAGGGGGGAGAGAGGGGGGGAGTGACCTTGTGAGTTTCACTCACGTAATTGAGGTCAGCAGCCTATAAAAGGTCATGCTTCGGGGCTTCAGATTTATTTAGTGGTGGACAGACGTTCCGACAGCACGCAGGAATGTCTTACATTTCGTATACTAAACCAGCTGATTTATTCCACGACAATGCCGTCATCTGGTACAGCCTAGGTCCTCAATCTGAGGTACCTGGAAATCAGCCTCCACAAAGGCAATCCAGAAATCCGCCCCATCCCTCCACGATTCCACCTCCGCATCTCGAGTGGATTTTCTGTAAGCTTATTGCTCAACTTCTATTGGTCCCATCTATACATTTGTTGCAACACGAATACTTAGGACAAATATCTTATCTCATATTGTAATACCTTTATCTGCCTTTGTTTTTCCGTTAAACCTGCTTGAAAACACTATATAGACAGGTGAAGAATTCTAATTTGAGCAACAACACCATCTGAGACTCCAAAAGAGGAGGTTGTCCCGTTTTGATGGGACGAAGCATACTCAAATTTAAACTCTACTGTTGGCCTTCCCAATCCCGCCAACCCACCCCCATCTTTCCCTTCTAACCGCTTAATGCTTTCACTACAAATACTACTTATAAATTTTCAATAGCAAGATTATGAACAAGTGTAATGAAGAGGGCTTTGAAAATCTTTCACGAATGTTCCACGACTCATTCTTTTAGCCAATCATAGATTGCGTGGGCGAGCGGTGCGGTTTTTTTCCCATTTTTTTCCTTTTCTTATATGATTGGTTATCAGTGATTAGTTGTTATATTTAATTGATAATTTGGTAACTCGTCTCACGATTTTCATACGAACCGTGTGGGTGCGTTGCACTCATATTTTCTTGTTCATTTTAGGGTGGGCATTAGAGGAGCATCGATCAACATCGTGCGTGTTCTTCTTTAACAAGTTCTTACCTCACTTCCTGTGGCTCACTCGCTGCTAGAATCGACGATTGTGACTTCGATCGTGACTTGTTCCCACTTTCTGCCTCGTTAGTGTAGGAAGACACCGTGGTAGTGAGATCGCATTTTCCATGTATCCTAGTTTCCTTAGGCAGAATCCCCAATCGTTTGGTGACGACGTTCTTTTTGATTCAGAATTTAATCCTCCTCATATTCGTCACTACCATACATTAGTTATTCGCAAATATGGAAAGGTGCCTACACATATTAGTTGCTTATATGTGGAGCACGACAGACATATGCATGTGGTTTTCCGTGCATATTACAACGTGGGTCGAAAAGTGAGCTGGTTTCTAATGGATTCCCGTGTGGTGCATAACGAGTGGTTTCGATTGAAAAGCACGCGTTAATTGATGAGAAACCTGACTTTTCTTTTGTAGTACTTCAAGGCCAGAGGCAAGGTAATGGAGATTGGCGTAGAAATACGAGACGAATGGTAAACCGCTTGCCATGTGCCCACTGTCGAGAGGTTGCTAGGACGCAGATATGGGCATTGAATGATGAGTATTTGTCAAAGGAGAAGCCCAATATCTACTTGCAAAACCACGAATCTCCAAATGAATACCATGTAAAGCATGCTAGCTGGTTGATAGCGTTGCTCAACAAAAATATTGTTGATATTGGCACCCTTCCAAGGCGACATTGACCAAAACATGGGCAAAAAACAACCACAATCAATGCAGGGTGTTTCCGAGGCCAGACCAACACCGGTAAAACGCTAATAGCCTATCTTATAACCTCGGCTCTTTTGGTAAGACGGCGTGTTAAGTGCTCATTCCATTTTCCTTTTGTTTCTTTTTCTTACAAAGCGCTTACTCTCATCGTGGCACCTTTTTTATAGATGGGGACGGTGTGTTGTTTTGGCGATTAGAGCGCCTTTCATTTCAACAACTTGCTCAATCTCGCAGTTGCTCTGATGGAGATACCAAGGATCACAATGACGGCAAGGTATGATTATAAGTGCCTCCATGGGAGAGACAGGTTCGAATTTGATGCGAAGTATATGGGAAAGTGGTTCATCGCGAGAATGCCTGTCACTAACGAAGACCTTGGCGCCCTTTTACCTCCAATTGAACAGGTGGCACTCTACTCCCGAGTGAAGCAATACGCTTGGAATGAAGAAATCTAGTTTGAGCTAATATGCAGCACTATTCTCATATGTCCAGTTTCTTCGTGTCACATGGAGGAATTATTTAGAAAACATGGTTTTTATGGCCATACTTCGGTGTCTGTATCCCCCTCGCCCGATGATGCAGCTATAACTTATGATACCCCAAAAAATTATTGTTTGTTTTAAAGTATTTGCGATGAATGTATATCTTTCTAAATGTTCCAAAAGTCTTGAACTAGAAACTTAACATTAGCGAATATGGGCGGTGAGGAAGCAGTCGGTCGGTCTGTACTTGAAGAGGGGGGTCTGAAGGGAGACTTGAGGCGCAAAAACCGTTCTAGGGCCAGAATACGGGGCAACAACAATTTCTAAGCTAACCATGACTTTTAATAAACTGTCAACGATGGACTAATGGTAACTGAAAGCACAATAGAAGTCCCAGGTATTGAACGAGTAGTTAATGCTATATTTCCCGAAATCTTCATAATTAAATACTGGTAAGCCGCCGATAAGTTGACTCTAAATCCTAAAAACAGGCCTTATCCCTTGTGTCATTGGGATTTGAAAGAATATAAATCAGTCAAATAGACACTAACACGATGACAAGCTGATAACGAAGGATTTGATAACTCTAATTACTTTCTGGAGTAACAATCGCTATGATATTTTCCCAAAAGCTTAAATCCCGGCTTCTAAATATACAATAACTTGATTTTTAAGTTGTAAAAGAACAGCATATTACCTTGGTAAAGTCTCTGCTATCCAGATGAAGTAAATAAGTGCGATTAATTGCCAACGTTGCAGATGCTCTTTATGTAAAACTAGATTTTCAAATTTTATGATAACTAAAAGCGTTGCATGAATTTCGAACCCGAGACAAGTCAAGGTATAAGTTATGAGCAGAGTATTGCTCAGGAAAATTAAAAATAAGGATTTCAAACAAGCATGATTGAGGCAATATCATTAAAAATGACCAATGATATCTTCTGCTTGGACAAGCTATATTGGCTTAAACAGCCCAAACGTGAATTCTGTGGGACACGTTTCGCTCTGTGCGTCATCATATGACTGCATGTCTGCTCGCCAGGATTGGGAGGTGCGGCCGTACAACTCTGTGTGCAGCGACCGTACAAACAGTGACCAATCATTAACCTCTGTTTAACCTAATCCCCCATCCTGATCATGAGTAGCTCCCTGCGTGTACACGTTATCCGCAATACCCGTACTGAATAAACGTGCTCTGGGCTACACGTCTGTTTCCTTTATAGCTGGGCTATAGCTTAGCTGGTTCTGGGAATCTAGCTAGATGTAGGAGAATCTGCCATAGAGATTTCTGAGTCAGTCAGGCTTTACTAAGGTAGCAATCCGGTATAATTCCCGTCATTAATACCATTTACGAGCATATTAAGATAATTAAAGATGGTAAGAGTAATGCGAGAATTCCATGAACGTCTTAGAAATTTTGGCTTAAAAGAAGATGGTACTCTCGCACTATCACTTGGTTCTATTTTCCTTGACACATTGATCAATAAGGAAGTTCAATGTGCTGTATCCAGTCGTTTATGGCCTAAGCATGATAAGTGTGATAAAAAGGACGCGCCAGCAAGTTATATTGTCGGATTCATTACGAGCCAATTGAAATGATTGCTTTGAAGGGCAACAGCATGTTTTCAACTCCCTCGAAAAACCGAAACGACTCTTACCCATTCCCTAAATTAACTACCCTCTGTTTTCCTATACTCTGGGGTATACAAACTCACTGGAAATTCAATTGTCGAAGTTGTAGTAACTGGAATTTCTCTTTTTTTCATGCTGCTAATAATAATTGGCGTTCATATTGATGCAATCAGTGACACGATTTTTTTCGACCATTCTGAGGATTCGACAGCAGACATCGGTTTGAAAAAGTGTTCGAAGACTAATAAAAGCGGCGACTTTTGAAAAATTAATTTGTAATGGTTGAAATGTCATGAAGCTCGAAAGCAGTGCTGAAACGACACGAATAGGTTAACCAGTTACTATCATGTTCTTTAGTGAACGAAAAAGCGATATAAAACATTCGCTTAATTCGGGAATAGTTTTACTACACGAGTCGGTGAGAATGGAGACTGCTTCATTGAATTTTGTTTCGAGATTCATTTCTAGAATGGATCAAGCATTGGAACTTTCTATTCGCAAAATATCCTAACCTTCGCATTGTATGAAACATTAGTGAACTCGTTTCATGGAACATCGATATAACTTTTAAGTCGGTTAGCTAAATTGTTTTCTCCAATTTGGCTTGAGTTAAATGCCTTAATTTTAAAAAAACAAAGTCTCAGTCAGTCCTCTATCTGTGGTCATAACTGTCAAATGTCTTGATTGTACTTGTGAGTCATAACGCTCCTATTTTACAAAAAAATGATGGTTTATCTACCGCCTTCATTTGGTTTGACGTAAATTTTAAACCCTCATTAAGTAGAACTAACTGTAGTACTTTATAAATGACGAAATCCCAGCTAGCGCGTAGGGAATGCAATTTCTTATTGGTATTCAAGTTCACAATATTTCACTTCAAAGACAAATTAAGTGTTTGTAGCGGATTGCTACCTTAGTAAAACCTGACTGACTCAGAAATCTCTATGGCAGATACTCCTACATCTAGCTAGACTCCTAGAACCAACTAAGGTATAGCCCACCTATGAAAGGAAACAGACGTGTAGCACGGAGCACGTTTATTCAGTACGGGTATTACGGATAACTTGTACACACAGGGAGCTACTCACGATCAGGATGGGGGATTAGGTTAAACAGAGGTTGATGATTGGTCACTGTTTGTACGGCCGCACCTCCCAATCCTGGCGAGCAGACATGCAGGCATACGATGATGCACACAGCGATACGTGTCCCACATGTTTATCAATAATCCAATGATAATCTGAAAAGG